TGCAGACTGGCGACCTCGGTACAATGGTATTGCTCAATGTCTTTCAAGCCGAGTGCGACGTTGAGTTTTCAGATGCGCTTCATCATGCATGTGGCCTTGGAATGGAAACATACCCTGGGCAGGACGAGGACGGCACGGTTGTTGGACTACAGGAGTCGCAGATGAGGATGATCGTCACTCGTATGCAGTCAGGCCATGTAGGGGCTATTTTTATTCATCTTTGTGGGAAAACGTGGCATGGAGTCGGACCTGACCAAAGGCGTACCCAAACTGAACCCTGGGGTATCCGACGTTTGCCTCCCCAACGCCGACAGAGCTTTTCTGGCGACAATTCTCAAGTGAGGTCGGCGTGGAGACTACTGCAAGCAGGTACCATGGCTGGCGTTCCAGTGGCGGTCATAGTGGAGCGCAAGGCCTATGACAATATTCAGAACTTCATGCCAGACTTTGGGACTATTGGTGCCCGAGTGGGCCACACTGAGATTGATAGTTGTATGTTTGGTGCTGCAGATGCTAGAGAGATGATGATTATTCATACACATTGTGATTACGAGATAGAACTGCGTCACCATGGACCCGTACGCTGCTGTCATGACTACCATGGACAACAGAGCCAAGCGGTTGAACTTCCACGGGCTGTTGGTGTACTGATTGGACGGGCCTTCAAAAGGGCCCGTTTTTTCATGACTCTGTCGGCGAGTCTTCGCAGGAGCTTGTAAGTTGTTTTGGATGTGTGCGCAAGTGAGGGTGGATTTGTATCAGTGCTTTGCCCAGCCTTAGGCTGTGAGGTGCCGCGCGGCTACCGCATGTTCTGTCGCCTAGGGCGACACATCTTGGAGGAGGAGTTCTCTGATTGGAGTCGGTGGAGGAGGAGTAATCGTATTCGTCCCCCTCCTTGGCGGCCCCTCGTGTACGAAGGTCTTACTCGTGTTCCGCGCTACCACGGAGTAGTTGAACTATCGAGGGGCCGACCAAGGGGGAGGCTGTGTGGCCTTCTGTAGGGGACGGGGAGGGCACGGGAGGCGCAAGTGGTAAGGCGGGTGAAACAAACCGTCGAGCGCCACCCCAAGCCTCCCCGTCCCCCAAATTCGTGCTTTGAACTGTCGCTCGCCGTCCTGGCGGCGTGCCACCAGGGGCGAGCCTCTTCTTCCCTCTCTTCACAGTCTAGATGTTACTCGTCTTCCTCTTCTCTTACTTGCTCCTGATGTTGTCGTCTATCGATGGCTACAGTGCTGGCTCTGTGCCCGTCCGAGCACGTGGTTGGGTGGAGGGTGGGTACCTTCAGGTGTTTTTGGTCGACGGGCACAGAGATTGCATGTTCCTTGCTGCGTCTTAGGCGCGCTGTGGGCCTCGGAGAAGACCGAGGCATCTGTGCCCTTGCATCGCTCGGTAGTCGGGCGCCGACTACCGAGCACACTGACGCTTCAGCGGCTGGACCGCTCTGAGCTCGGCCAAGAAAAAGGAGGAGGAAGGAGGATTTGTGTCCGCGCCTCCTCGCAGCAGACCTCCTCGGACCCCCGCGCGCCGGCACCGGCGCGTCGCGCGCGCGAGGCCCCCGGGCCCGCCGGCCCCTGCCTCGCCGCGCAGCCTTCAGGAGGGGAAAAAACACACACAGACACAATGAACCGTCCCCTCCCATGAAAATAAGGAAAATATGGGAAGTGGGGGGGAAGACAAAAACCCAGAACATGTAAAGAAATATGGGGGATCCTTTTATTTGTGTGTATTCACTTGCGTGTCCCAGGGCCCCTTCAATCCTGTCGGGCGCGAAGCCGCGCGAGAGGAGGGCCCGGGCGGGAAGGCGGCTCCCTCGGCGAAGGCGCAGGGCCAGGCGAAAGAGCCGTCGACCATCGGATTCTGGATGGCGAGGTCCATCTTCGAGCACCTTCTCTGGTTGAGCTCCCACTGCCCAAGGCTTCTTCGCGTGCAACTGAGGGCTGTTCAACCATGCTGGATCCACCACCACTTTAATAATCTCCGGCGGATCCGACCAGGAGGGAGCGAATTTGCCAAACTTGGCTCGTCCAAGGGCCTCGACCGTCATCTTAAAGTCCTCCAAGTCCCGCTTCGCAGTGTCATCGCTGGTCTCGCAGGGGTCAGGGACCGCGCATCCGTCGGTGTTTCGAGGGTCGTTCAGGCGCTCCTCGGACAGGTTGCGGCAGAGGGGAATCAGCACCGCGGTGCCAGAGAGAGTCCTCTCTCCAGAGAGTCACGCCCAATTCTTCCAAATTGCGCATGGTGGGATTGCGGGCTGCAAACGGAAGAGGAGGACGAGGAGGAGGACGAGGAGAAGGAGGAGGAGGACGAGGAGGGAGGCCTTGCCTGTTCTTGCGAGCCAGAGCTATATATCGCGTGCCACCCACACTTGTCGAAGTCCCCCTTCGGCAAATGCTTGGCGCTCACGGTCTCTCCGCCGTCTCTAACTGGCCAGCGCGCGTGAGCAGCTCCGAATGGCATCGTGCAGCTCATTTGCGTCCGAGCGAAAATCCTCCACCGCTTCCTGCACGTCCAATGCTGTGACCCGGGGAAGGAGAAATCTGCGTTCTTTGGGCAATGCCCATTGCTTTCGCCCAAATTATTTTCATACTCTGGCCTTGCAGCCGCCAAGGAGAAACGCGAGAGAGCCTCTTTTCTGATTGTACCCAGACGCAACGTTGCGCGTTCTGTTGTAGCCACTCGGCTTCAGGATATTCAACGCAGACTTACTGCTTCATCCCCTCACAGGCTCATGCAGCTTGACTAAGAACTCCTCTCCCCCAGCGCCGTCCAGCACTACCCCAGACAACCTTGGTCGTCCCAACGTTATCGCAGAGGTAATTGGTTCATTGGGGCCACGACCTGTAGCTTCATCACCAGCGGCACGTGGTCCAATATATTTGAGGAAGCTCCTGCCGCCTCCGCTGTTTTACGCCAGGCCTGCGCCCGCTGAACTATGACCCCAGCGCTGTGGGGAAGACGATTTTGACAGATTTGTGACGACAGGCCTTCCATGCCGAAGAAAATATGTTCCACTTGCCTTGTCGCGTTGATCGCCATCATGTCTGCGCCGAACAACTGGCTATACACTAACTTCCCAGCCATGTTCTTGGCCTTTGCTCCGCAGGCGCCAGCGACAGGGTCCTCGTCATGATGTGCAGTGAGGCCTGCACTGAAATTCATGAGCAGCACAGGAGTGCAATTCTGTGGGACATGCAAAAGGTGGTCCCTCGCCCAAGTGGCCGATGCCCGACAAGTATCACGCCATACTGCAACCTTACGTTTAGTCGACGGCCTCGGAGGAACGTAAAGGACGAATACTGCGATAATCAGAGACAACGACGCAATGTACGTGATGCCTCCGCGGCCCCGCAGCCCCACAGGAGCGGGGGGTCAACTTCATGATCACGTTCGGGCTTGAGAAGCGCTTCGAAAGAAACAGTGAGCACCCACAACTCTTGTTCACCATTCTGGCCCCCTCCCAGCCGAAGTGGTTCACGTGGTGGTACGGCGTACTCGTCGTATGATGAGGTTCCTCCCGCCACTGTCGTACGCAAGTGCCTGAAAGGGCCACAATGTCCACTCCTCGTAGCGCAGCTGATACTTGGTCAAGTCGAGCAGCATTGATAAGGTTCTGCGGTCTCCAGACTGATGAGGGTGAATATTGCCTCGTACTTTGAGAATCCACTCCTCCCAGCAGCAGCAACGCCTGCAGGAGGAACACAAGGCGCGCACCCCTGCCCCGAGGCAGGGCTCGTTTCGATTCCTCCGATTCGAGTCGATTCGACTTCGATGGCTTCCGATTTCGATCCGATTCGATTTGGGATTCCGATCTGGGCTCCGATGTCTCATTGGAGGCGTACTAGCCTCCTGATTTCCGCCGATTCGGCTCTTCCCGACTCGGCTGCCGATTTCCGTCGATCCGATCCATTTGGATCGCCGATCCGACGTATGGATTCGATTCTGGGGCCTCCTGCCGAGGCAGGGGGGCACTCAGGAGGAGAAGGTCCCTCTCCAAGTCTCCGACCGAGAAGCTGGATACACAGGACGCGGCGGGTCTTGGCGCGAGGTGGACGCATTCGTGGCCAGAGCCGTCTGTGCAACGCTCGGCCTCCTGTTGCCGTGCACGCCGGGGTTTCGAATGTGTAACCAGCACGTGGCCTCTGTCAAGCAGTGGCGAAGCGTCCTGGCTCGCCTATAGACCCACTGAAGAATGTTCTAAGAACCTTTTGCAGTTTGCACGAAATGTTCTTAGAACATTTCTGGCTGAGATTGTCTTGTTTTAACACATCGGGTTTTTGTTCTACGAGCATTGTTCCTGTTCTTAGAACATTCCTGGGTTCCACGAACATGTCGTGGTAGGCCTATAAGAATGCCGGAACGGTCGGTCCCTGCTCAATCCTGTGGCCGTGCACGCCGGGCTTTCGAGTGTGTAGCCAGCGCGTGGCCTCTGAATGTTCCAAACCTGGAAGAAGAAGAAGAAACAGCGCCATACGCATAAACTTGTGGCGCTCCGCGCGGACTTCTTGGATCGGCGCCTGGGTCCCCCTGGCGGCGCCTCCGGCGCCGCCCCTGGCGCGCTGGAGGCGCCGCCAGGGAGAGGGGTCCAGCGCAGATCCAAGAAATCCGAGCGAAGCGCAAAAAGTTTATGTTTGTGTAGTTTTTTCCTACAGTTGAGGCCCATGCCAAGAAGTACCCTGGTTGCCTCCAGGGTGCCCTGGGTTGCTCGGGGTTCGCCGTTTTTCGCACGGGAAGCGTGACGTTGCCACACCAAAAATCCATGGACGCCCTGGGGTCTCAGGGTTGGGTTTCTTGTGGAAGGTTTCTTGCGTACTGGCCTCCGCTGTATGCTAAAGCATGAGTCTGGCCATGTGTGTTTCCAGCTTCCTGGCGGTGCTGCGGTCGCCCCTCGCCGTCGCCGCCGCCGCCGTCATCGTGGGCACCGCGGCGGGCGGCGGAGCGACGAGCGGGCGGCCGGCGACGAGCGGGCGGCACCACGGCGAGCAGCGGCAGAGCGGGCCGAGGCGCGCACGCCGCCGCGGCGGTGGGCGAGGGCCCGAAGCTGCAGCAGGCGCCGGGCCTCCGCAGCGCCATGGCCTCCGCAGCCGTCGCCGCCGCTCGTCGCCTCCTGTCGTCGTGGTGGTGGTGGTGGTGGTCGTCGTCGTCGTCGTTTTTGTCGTCGTCGTCGTCGTTTTTGTCGGCGTCGTCGTCGTCGTCGTCGTCGTCGTCGTCGTCGTCGTCGTCGTCGTCGTCGTCGTCGTCGTCGTCTTCGTGGTCGGCGTCGTGGTCGGCGTCGTGGTCGGCGTCGTGTTCCTGGCAGTCGTCGCGGTCGTCCTCGTCTTTGTGTGGGAGGGGGAGGGGAGGACGAGGACGAGGGGCAGAGGAGGAGGAGGAAAAGGGTGGAGGGCCGCCCCCGAGACTCCGAGATTCCCTTCCAGGGGAGGGAGGAGGAGGACGAGGGGGGGAGGAAGAGGAGGAAAAGGATGGAGGACCGCCCCCGAGATCCCCTCCCGCCGCCGCCCATGCCGCGAGCCCAGGCGCGAGAGGCGCTCGCGCCTGCCACGGGCGCGCTCCTTGGGCAAGCGATGCGTCCGGCGCTCAGAGAGGGGTCCATCGAACCTCCTGGCCTCCTCTCTCCCTTCCTCCTGCATCGCCTTGTCTTCTTCCTCATTCTTTGTTCCTCCTTCACCTCTTCTCCCCTCTTTCCCTCTTCCTCCTCCTTTTACTCCTCCTCCTCCTCCTCCTCTTCCTCCTACTTCTCCTCCTCCTTCTCCTCCTCCTCCTCCTCCTCCTCCTCCTCCTCCTCATCGTCTCTCCTCTCTCCCTCTTCCTCCTCCTCCTCCTGGAGCCTTGGACTTGTAGGCGATGTGTGTATACACGCTTCTGGTCTCGGCAGGCGCGTCCACCATGCTTGGGCCCAGGATGGCTCTGGCCAGGCATCGTGGTGGTGTACGGCCGCCTCCTGTGTAGGATCGGAGACCAGCAACAAAAGGCGCATGTCTATGTTGAGGTCAGCGCGGCACTCATGGGGCGGCGCTGGAACCCCTCTTCTCTGCACGCCTCACGGCGCTCCTGGCGGCGGCGTTCCGGGGAGCTGGCGCGGGGAGGGGGGCCCAGCGCCAGCCACAGAAATCCGAGCACGTCAGAAAGCTGCCATCCACTGCTTCCCCTCTCTTCCCCCCTCTTCTTCCGCGTGCAAATGGTCCTGCCTCGATGCACCGATTCCGTGACACATGCGTTTTACTCACTGTGCGAGTCCAGATTTTTGCATCGAGCCTGGCTGGTTGTGTGAGGCTGCGTGCGACAGTCAGTCGGACTGGAGAGAGGTGGTGCTTTGCGATTTTCCCTGACCTTCCATTCCCCCCCCCCTCTCCCAAATATCGCGCTGACAAAAAATCTCTGCCCCCCTTCTCTTCCTGCTCCTGCTTCCCCCCCCCCACTCTGCCCGAAGCCCGGGAGTATGTACGGTTTGTTCTGTCTCGCACGGCGCTCTCAATCGGCCTCCGTGGGCCCAATGTTGGCTTGTATCGTTTAACCGGTCCCCATCCCCATCCCCATCCCCTTCGAGACCCCACGCGGTCCTGCCGCTTGACGTTCTTCTCCGTCACGAAGCTGACATCTTGAAGCCGTGGAGCAGCCGGATGTCTGGGTTCCGGGCATCATTCTGCGGTTCCCCCCGGTCCGACGAGCCACGCGCACCGCGGAATGAGACGCTCGTGGGACACCAATGGGGGTCGAGAGCGGTGGGAGTCCCCGCATGCCAGGACGCTGGCTATCTGGTGAGTGGCGGGGCCGTTTGTCAGCATCGTTTAACCGGCCCCCATCCCCATCCCCATCCCCATCCCCTTCGAGACCCCCACCAAACTACCACCCCAGTTGGGGATACACCCCCCGAAACCGGAGGGGAACGACCTGTATCCCCATCCACGGGGGTAAATCGGCCAGTGGGGCACAGGCCACGCCGCTGGGAATGGGGATCGGTAACACGATACTCAATTGGCCAAGCTGCCAGGACACGTTCCGTGTTCTCGGCGCTATCATTCCTCTCAGTTGTTATTTTTCTTCTCCCACAATAACGCTGGGGGGCGGGGGGGGAGGGGGGGAAAATCACATTTGAAAGATCACACGCCCGTTTTGAAACGCAACACGTCTTGGCTCCAAGTATTGGCCCACGTTTTGGCGAACGTATCGCGTTGGACCTACGTTTGCAGTCCACGAATTGAGCTCCGTATCAATACGCTACGTGTTGTGTGTTGCGTATCGTGGCAGCTAAGATCACGCATGTCGTCTGATTGTCCATCTCGCATTTCGACCCAGGGCGCGGGGTCCGCTCGTCCCAGGTCCCCTTCCTGCGCCGAGCGAGCTCGTCGACTGCGCCCCTCCGCCATCCGCGCCGAGCGCCCTGATGGCGTCGCCAAGGGGGCGTATGCAACATGCCAGGGCAGGGGTCCAGGATGGCCCTGACCAGGCTTCTTGGATCTTGATCCTGCTAAATTTGCCCTGATGGCGTCGCCAAGGGGGCGTATGCAACATGCCAGGGTCCAGGATGGCCCTGACCAGGCTTCTTGGATCTTGATCCTACTAAATTTGTCCTGATGGCGTCGTCAAGGGGGCGTATGCAACATCCCAGGGTCCAGGATGGCCCTGACCAGGCTTCTTGCATCTTGTTCCTATTCAAATTTGAAAAGGAGGAGGAGGAAGAGGAGGAGGAGGAGGGAGGAGGAGGAGGAGGAGGGAGGAGGAGAAGGAGGAGGTTGTGCAGGATCTTGACCCAGACGTGCGACGTCCTGATTTTCTCAGGACGGCGTCCCTGGAAGTCCCGACCCTTTCCCCAGGACCGGTTTTTTCGTCCTGAGCCGTTTTTTGATGGTCCCGAGGCCCGGCGAGGGCCCCCCCGGATCGAAAATAGCCAAAAACCTCCCGTCCTGTTTTTGTTGTTGTTTTTTTTTCGACGCGATCATGTCTGGGGATCCTATTCAAATTTGTATAGGATCTAGATCCAAGACGCCAGGTCGCCCGGTGGGGCGCGACAGTCATCGCGTCCCAGGGCGCGCCGCGTCCTGGGCCGCAGGAGAGGCCCCCCTGCCAGGGGGGGGCGGCGGGCGGAGCTCGCGGAGGACCGCGCGCAGCTCCGCGGCCGCGCGCTGCGCGCAGCGTGGGGCCCAGGAAGCCTCGAGAATGGGAAATCCAGACAGGATCGGGACGCAACAAAAATCAGGGCGGGAGGTCTGTAGCCATTTTCGGCCCGGGGGGGCCCTCGCAGGGCCTCGGGGCCGTAAGCAAAATGATTCCGGACGAAACACCGGTCCCGGGGAAAGGGTCGGGACTTCCAGGGGCGCCGTCCTGAAAAAATCAGGGCGCCGCATGTCTGGGAACCTGAACCCTACTGTCCGAGCCTTGCGCCTCTAGTGGGCGACGACGGCTTGTCTGCAGGCCCGCCAAAGACTGTTCCGAGAACCTTTTGCTGCGGTTGGCACGGGGTGGTCTTGGAACATGTGAGCGGTGCAAAAAAATAAGGTTTTCGCCGACATTGGCGCGCAAGTTGCCCGCGCAAGGCCCAGGAATCATCGAGAATAAGAAACGGTAACCCTACTAACTCAGTGAAGGCGTGGCCTCACTGAGGTCCCCGTCTTTGCACTGGGGGTAATGAATATGGGCGGCGTGGTGCGATACATCTGCATAAAAGACCTCCTACAGTCAACCCGCATGATAAGGATGGGCAACCTTCCCAAGGCTACCCTTGCATCCTTGACTACTCGGTCCATCCTTGGCCGCTTTCGCTGGCCGCGCCCCGCTCGCAAAGTGTCGAAATTCCAAGGCCCTTGCATCAGCATCCTGCATCCTCATGATACGGGCCGGCTGTACTGCTAACCGCGGGAAGGCGGGGCCCAGCCCTGGCTGGAACCCCCTTCCGCTCGGGGGCGACGATTGGGGCGCATATAGAGCCCAGGGGCGGGAAAATCACACGCACCCCTCCGGCACAGAGGTCTGGACCCCTTCCCTGGGGCCAGTTTTTCATCCCGAGTCTTTTTGTTGACAGCCCCGAGGCCCAGGAAGGGCCCCAGGAGGCCGAAACACTAGCGCCGAGCCTCCCGGCGCGATTCTTGTCACCGCGCGAGAGGGGGCTTGGCGTCGTCGCGCCTCCGACTTCCGCGCACGGGGCCTCTCCGGCGGCGCTTCCGGTGCGCCGTCTGCGCCGTCTGCCGCGGTGAATTCGCGCCACCCCAACATACTAGTACTATGTTGTGTGCGTCGCCCCCCCCCCCCCCGGGGCGACGCGCGCACCGAGAAGTCTTCTGGTATATGCGTCGTGGCGGGCGCTTTCTGGCCGTGCCGCTCGGGAAACGATATTCTACAAGATGGGTGGACTGCGTGTCCCAGTGAAGCCCCGCCTCCGCCGGCCCGCCCGAAAAGGGCCGAGCCGGGGCCCCCTGCAGGGAGGAGCGGCGGGCCGCGCTGCTGGCAGCGGCTGGTGAAAGCCCTCCTCCTCCTCCTCCTCCTCCTCCTCCTCCTGCTCCTTCTCCTCCTCCTCCTGCTCCTGCTCCTTCTCCTTCTCCTGCTGCTGCTCCTCCTCCTCCTCCTCCTGCTCCTGCTCCTTCTCCTTCTCCTGCTGCTGCTCCTCCTCCTCCTTCTCCTCCTGCTCCTCCTCCTCCTGCTCCTCCTCCTCTCCTCCTCCTCCTGCTCCTCCTCCTCCCTCCTCCTCCTCCTCCTCCTCCTCCTCCTCCTCCTCCTCCTCCTCCTCCCCAGTCCTCCTCTTCTCCGTCGATGTGCCGCGACTTCTGCACGACGCGCTCCGGAGCGGGCCTCGCCTTCGAGAGAGCCGACAGGTTGGCCTCTCGCCTCCGGCGGAAGGTTCGGGCGCAGACGGCGGAATAGCGAAGGCATGAGCGGCTCCGTTGGCGGGGGGGTCCGGCGGGGGCGGGCGGACGTGAAAGATGCTCGGGCCGGACGAAAGGGGGGGATAGGGAAAGGGGGGGTTACGAAATCTGCTGCATGCACCTGGTTTCGGCCTCACCGAGGGGCCCATCCCTCGATACATGGCCGCCTCCGGCGCCGGGAGGCGCCCGGAAAATCAGCTACGTGAGCTGATTCTCCCCCCCCCCTTTGCTATCCCCCCCTTTCGCCCGACCCGAGATGCGCAGAAATAGTCGAACAAACAATTACACTGATAGGGGCGGCGCGCTCCGCGCGCCAGGGAGGGGGGTCCAGCGCCGATCCGAGAAATCCGCGTGGACCTCCGAGTTTGTATGCTTATGGCGTTGTTTGCTCCCCTATTTGGTGCGGGCCCATGGGGGCCTCCCGATCGTTGAACGCGATGCGACAGCCAGCAGCGGCTTCTGCACTCGGGTTTGGCTCCTCCCCGTGCCCCTCTGAAGCCGCGCACCTCAGGTCACTCTTTGCCCAGGGTCACTGTGGCTTAGGAGGGGAAAAACACAGACACAATGAATCGTCGACTTCTAGGAAAATACTGGAAAATGTGGGCAGTGGGGGAAGACGAAAACCCACACAAGTATTGGAAGATATGGGGGCTGTTAGGCTTTATGTTTATTTATTGCCCCTTTACTCGCGTGCAGCCGAGGGAGGTTCGA